GTGAATTCCAGCAGATCCATGGAACAGCTCTGTGTCCTCTGGCATTTTATTTTAGGTAGTCTAAGCCTCATTTCCTCAAGCTGTAAAATAGGAACAATAATAAAACTACTATTCTTACTATGTTTGTGTTTGGTAAAAATTAAATGAGACACTGGATGGAGATTATTTAACAGTGCTTGGCATACAGTAAGTACTGTAAACAAATCTGCTGAAATTATTATTAGCTATTTTGTTTTCCCAACTAATTTGGAAGGCCAAGTTTATTTGTTAAATATATTACGCATATGCTTAATATTTTTAACAATCACATTCTTTTCTAATTATAAACTTTCATAACGTTAGTGTAGTTTACATGATACACTATCATACCTATTAATGAAAATTCTTTCTCTTTTTCTTCTCCCTCTTACTAGCTATTTATCCCTCATTTTTCTAGATAAACTTGGAAAACACTTTATCAGGTGGCAAAGTTTATCCTTGTGAGATTTTGTACTAGAGTGTAATTAAATCGATTCCATGAAAACGGACCTATTCACACCATTGCAACATCCTATTAAGAAGCATAGTCTTGTCATGAGTCTTTTTCCTGCACATCTGTGTTTTTTTCTGATTTTCTTCAGATAGGCTCTACATATTTATTTTTAGATTTCTTGCATACCTAATTCTGTGGTACTATGAGCTGAATGTGTGTGTCCCCTCAAATTAATATTTAAAACCCTAATTCCCAATGTAATAGTATTGGAAGGTGGGGCCTTTGGGAAGTTATGAGATCATGAGGATGGTGCCTTCATGACTGGATGACTGCCCTCTCAAGAACAGCCACGGGAGATGTGATCTGTCTCTGTGCCATGTGAGGTCTCAATAAGAAGGCAGCCATCCGCAGACCAAAAAGAGGGCACCAGACACTGAATCTGCTGGCACCTTGATGGTGCCAGCAACTAATAAATATACTTAATTACCTATCAATAATTTCCTTGAATGTAAATGTACTGAATTCATCAAAAGACACAGAGTGGCTGAATAGATAAAAAGTCATTTTATGAGACCAGCTTACCTTGATGATAAAGCCAGATGGGGACACTTAAAGGATAAAAGTTGCAAGCCAATATTCCTGATGAACACAGATGCAAACGTTTTCAACAAAATATTTGCAAACTGAGTTCAACAACACATTGAAAGAATCATTCGGCATTGTCAAGTGGGATTTAGCTGAGGACTGTAAGTATGGTTCAACATGTGCAAATTAATTAATGTGATACACCACATTAACAGAATGAAGGATAAAAACCATAGAACCATCTCAATAGATTCAGAGAAAGCATTTGAAACATTCAAAATCCTTTTATAATAAAATCTTTCAACAGATTACTTATAGAGAGAATACAATAAAAGCCATATGACCAACAGGTAGCAAACATCACACTTAACAGTGAAATGTTGAAAACTTCTTTTTCTAAGATCAGGGACAAAACAAAAATACCTATTCTCACCACCAATTTTCAGCATAGTCCTGAAAGTCCTAGCCAGAACATTTAGGCAAGAGAAAGAAATAAAAGACATTCAGATCAGAAAGAAAGAAGTAAAAGTGTATACCTGTTTGCCGATGACATAATCTTATATGTAGAAACCCAAAAGACTTAACAAAAAACTGTTAAAACTAATAAAAAATTCAGTAACATTGAAGGATACAAAAGCAACATAAAAAAAATCAATCGTTTTTCTATATACTAATAAGAAACTATCCAAAAAATATTGAGAAAACAATCCCATTTATAATAGCAGTATATCAAGTATAATACTTAGGTAAAAATTTAATTAACAAGGTGGAAGATCTGCATACTGAAAACTATAAAACACCGAGAATTAAAGTGAAGGAAACACAAGTACCTGAAAAGGTATTCCATATTCACGGATTTAAAAAATTAATATTGTCAAAATGCCCAAAGCACTCGAAGCAGTCTACAGATTTAATGCAATCCCTATCAAAATTCCAATGTAATTTTCACAGAAATAGAAATAGAAAAAAAAAAACTTAAATTCATATGAAATCACAAAAGATTCCAAGTAGCCAAAACAATCTTGAGCAAAAAGAACAAAGCTGGAGGCATTACACTATCTAGTTTCAAAATATACTATAAAGCAACTGTAATCAAAACATAAAAATAGACCAAGAAAAGCAGACACAGAGACCAACAGAACAAGCTAGAAAGCCCAGAAATAAAGCAACACTTTTTTTTTTAAACTCTAATTTTAGGTTCAAGGGTACATGTGCAAGTTTCTTACATAGGTAGATTGTGTGTCATGAAGGTTTGTGTAGATTATTTTGCTACCCAGGCAATAAGAATAGTACTCAATAGGTGGTTTTCGATCCTCACGCTCCTTTCTCCCTCCTCCCTTAAGTAGTTCCCAGTGTGTGCTGTTCCCCTATTTGTGTCCATATGTACTCCAGGTTTAGCTCCTGCTTATAAGTGAGATCATGCAGCATTTGGTTTTCTGTTTCTGTATTAAGTGTCTATCAACCCACACATTCATGGTCAATTGACTTTGGCAAAAGTGACAGTAACACACAATGGAGAAAGGACAGTCTCCTCAGTAAACGGTGTTACAAAAACTGGACATTGGATATCCATATGCAGATGAAGGAAATCAGACCCTTAAATTACACCATGTAAAACAATCAATTTGAAATGGATTAAAGACTTAAATAGAAGACCTTAAACTATAAAACTTCTACCTGTAAAAGTAAATATGGAGGAAAGCTCCATGACACTGGTATGGGCAATAGATTTTTGGCTACGTCCCCAAAAGCCCAGGCAACAAAAACAAAAATAGACAAATAGGACTGCATCAAACTAAATAATTTCTGCACAGCAAAGATGACAATTAACAAAGTAAAGACAAAATCCACAGAATGGTAGAAAATATTTGTAAACCACACATCTGATAATAGTTGATATTCAGACTATATAAGGAGCTCAAGTAACTTCATATCAAGAAAATAATATCCTGATTTAAAAGTGGGCAAAGGACCTGAGAAGTTATTACTCAAAAGAAGACATACAAATGTTCAATAGGTACATTAAAGAATTTTTCAGTATTACTCATCATTAGGAAAATGCAAATTACAACCACAATGAGATATAATCTCATAACTGTTAGAATGGCTTTTATGAAAAATAGATGAAAGACGACAAATGCTGGCAGAATGCAGAAATAAGGGAACTCCTGTACATTGTTGGTGGGAATGTCAATTAGTACTGTCATTATGGAAAACTACACAGAGCTTTCTCAAATATTAAAAATTAAGCTACCATATGATCCATCAATCCCAATTCTAGGTATATTTCTGAAGGAGAGAAAATCAGTTTATTGAAGGGCTATCTGCCCTCCTATGTTCATTGCAGTACTATTCACAGTAGTCAAGATGTAGAATCAATTTAAGTGTACATCAATGGATGCATAAAGAAAATGTGGTATGTACACACAATGAAACACTATTAGTCATAAAAAGAAGGAAATCCTGTCATTCGTGACAACACGAATGAACCTGGAGGACATTATGCTAAGTGAAACAAGCCAGGCACCAAAAGACAAATACCACACAATCTCACTACATGTGGAAACTAAAATCACTGAACTTAGAGAAGCAGTAAATTAAATGATGATTACCAGACACTGAGGTATAGGGGGCAATAATGGGAAGTTAATAAAAGCCACAAAGTTTCGGATAAACAGAGTAAGTTTTGAGATCCATTGCACAACAGGGTGACTACGGTCAATATTAATGTATTGTATATTTCAAAATAACTAAGAGTAAATTTCAATGTCTCATCACAAAAACAAATGATAAGTGAGGCAATGGATTTGCAATGTTTTGCAAGCAATGGATTACTTTGCTTGATTTAATCATTCACATTATACACTTACATCATCACTGTGTACCCCATAATTGTATACAATTATAACTTGTCAATTAAAAGTAATATTGATAAAAAGTAAAAATAAAAATACCAAAAGAGAACGAAGACTAGCCAATGTGAATCAGCACAGAAGCAGAGAATGTAACACTTAATAATTTTTTTAAATATGACTCAAAAGCTATTTTTAAATCATTTAAAAAATTTTTTTAAATTACACAGACCAGTATGACAACTTATATTTCCCTTGCTAAGCATGTTAATGGATCCTAAAAGAGGAATTCTCATCAACACTAGACCCAAACAGTTATTAGACCTACAAATTACTTTTTTAGTTCACTATAGATTAAGTGCTTAATATCATCTGAAAATAGAATTTATTTAATCTTGAGGACTCAGGTTTTTTTCTAATTTATTAAAACAATACTGAGTAAAAATAAAAGGTTTATATATTCTAAAAAAGAAGTTCATGTAAAATAAGAACTTATTTTCTTTTTTAACACACAGTTTATTATTATTATTATTATTATATTAAAGTCAGGCAATGGTCTGACAATAGAAAGACTACCTGTGGAATACTGTTATGTTAAACTTCACTTACAAGATGTTAAATCCTTAGAACTAAGGTTTTCCCCCAGAAAAAGATTAATGGAAACATCAATTGCTTTTCAGACTTGATAGTTGCTGCTTCAAAACAAACAAACAAACAAAAAAACTTTAGTACACAATGAATTGCTTGTAATTCTGTACACATCCACATTTCATCATTTAGTGATCCTGAACAGAAAGTGGAAAGACAAAGCAATTTGCCAGGAGGTCAAGCCCGCCAATTTTGGGGATCTGCTGTCCACACCGGCTTCTTTCTTAATCCCTGCTGAGGATCTGGAGAAGCAGCAGCAGCACCAAAACCAAGGCAGGCACCAGATTCAAGGTTCTTTTTGTTCCAGTTGTCAGATTCCAAACTAGACCCCAATGGATTGCAAGGATGACCAAATAAAAGCCCTGTTTAAAACTTCTTCAATTTTTAAAAACAAAAGCAGTTACAGGAAAGTAAAACAATTCAGAGGGATCACGTGCACTTACAAGTGTCTTCATGTGGCCTTTCTCCAAGTTCAACCACCAAGGACTCTGAGAGCTGGCAGGTCTGAGTAACCCTGGTGACTATTATTTTCACCTTATCAAAACTTGAGCTAAAAACAATGCATCAGCTGATGACAGCAGAGGGTGGCACGGCTGAGGACCCAATATTCATTTCCCAGGCTGGTGGACAGTGAATAAGTACGGTTCCAAAACTAATCAAGGGAGCTCAGAGATTCTTTCCAGCCTTACCTGATGGCTTCTGGCCAAAGCAAGGAAGTATCATGGAAGGTGCTGGGTGGTGATAGTGCAAAACGGAACTTGAGGAGGAGGGAAGAAAAAGTATCACCCCTCGATAAAGGTGGGGGAAAGAAGATATGGGGAAAGCCCTGAATTCCTCACCGAAGGCCAATCTCAGAGGGGAGCAGAGGGGTTACAACCTACACTTTGGCCAAGGGCAGGAGTAGATGAGCATGGGAACTGGATGATGGCTTGGAAGGTCATCATTTAAGACTTAAAGAAACCAGGGGTGCAGGCGAAGCACCCCACACACCCAGCTGCAGTCCCACAGGCTGTAACCTGAAACCTTCACATATACTCTAACAAGCCCCCCAGGCTAGAGGGCTATTGTTGCAGGGAGGGTGGGAGGTGGGAGGGTAAGGGGAGAAGATAGAGACCTCAGGCCATGTAATTAGCAGTAAGGTGATTGTGTGGTGTGTCTTTTCACAGTTAAGTTAGATGTGCCCCACCAGTTATGATGGGAATCAATTTAAATAGACTTTCTTGATCCCAGAAGTTCAACTACATGGACAGTGGTTACACTTGACAGGATGATTTGTTATAGCACAACTTATATATTCCAAATGGACAAAAAAAATAGTATCATTTACAGTAAGTTAAGGTAAATTTCCTTTGAATGGGAGCTTCCTTTCCAGTACTTTGAGGTCTACAAGACATATCTAGAAAATGTACTACTGTGGAAAATGAAGACTATTTAAATCGAATGGAGGAGAAATGGGAAGGGCCTGTGGTTTTTCTTTTTGATTAATTGCTCTAACACTATCCTTCAGGTGGCTCAGGGAGTTTCATATTTTCTTTAGACATCATTAGGCTCTGAAGCTCTTACAGGACAACTTTGATGCTATATGAATTCTGCCATTTTGCTACCACTGACATGGCTCTTGGATCCACCACACTATCAGAGCTATTAACTCCATTCATATTAATTTTTGTTACAACTCTTACAAAGGAGGGGGGTGCTTCTGGGTATTTAGGTCCACATTCTATTTTAAGGCTGTATATTCAGTTTTCACAAATTGTTGTTGGAGGCCCAATTATCATCCCTGTCCATCTTGTAAATGTCATCTCTTCATCATCTTCTAGACCCTAGCTAACCGCGCCATCTCCTACTCCTTTCTGGCCTTCGAGTTCTTCCAACAGTCAGAAATTGAGAGGGACTTTTACTCCTAATCCTGTGGTGACTGCCATCTTGTGTCGCTGTCCAAGAACTTATTTTCAAAAATGTATTAATAGCACCAGAGGCACCAGAAATTTAACTTCAGCTATGCCAATTTTATTCAGAAACGTTGACATATTAATCTATTTCTTTAAAGGTCACACAAGTTGGATGTTAAAGGGGACATTGTTTTTTTCTTAAATGTGGCTACTGCAAATCCTTATAAAGCTAGTTTAAAAAAAATCTAATCTATAAGTTTAGCATCACAAGTTTCCATGAGTGAAACTGCTTGGCCATTGTTATTTCTTCACAGTAGTTTTCTTCTAGTGTGATATACAAAAGAAATTCATGCTTTAATGTAATTCTCAATTTTTATCTGCAGATTCTCACCCACATTTTAAATAAAATGCCAGAGAGGAAACTTCCCAGAAATGAAAATGAAAAGAATGCCAAAAGGTGACCTCTCCATGTAACATTTAATATGAAATCTGTTTATTCGACAGATCTATGCCTTCACTTCCTTCCAAGGCTGAAAGTTATTAGAATTTTAGAATCTTTCATGCAGCCAAGACCTTTCCTACTCAGCGGCTTTCCATTTCTTCACGTTAACCTTTTCTCTGAAGCAGGACCATGCATGTTATCACAGCCAGGGTACTGAAGGAAGCTTCATAGAGATTAATAATGGAAGGGACTTGGCACTGCTTGTCCAACCAGCCAAGTCAATCCTGTTTACTGCTTGCTCATCAATAAACAGTAAGGGTTCTTCCAGACAGTCCAGAGCAAGGGGCAACAAGCCCACAGTTAGCGTCTCTGGGGAAATAGGACAAATACAAATGAATCTTTGCCCTTGGCTGCACTTGGTATTGAATGGTTACTGAGTAGTAACAGTATGACAGCTATCCCAAACTAAGAGAAAAATATTATTAGCCTGTTTCATTCTATAGAGAAAAAAGTTTTTCAGTAATCACTCTTCTGGTTTTAACGTAATAGCAACTGAATATATAAATGGAAGGCAAACAGTGGCAAAATCAAATATGTAGAACCTTATTTTAGCAGAAGAGAATGAATTCTGTAAACAGAATTGATATTTTATCTGAATAAAAAAAAGAAGATATATGTTTGCATTAAGTGACCTACAATAATGGAATTCGTGCCTCTGGATAATTAACTGCACCAATACCTACTATGAACCAGCAATGAGCCCCTGGTAATTTTATGAAAATGTGGTTTATGAAGGGTGAATGTGTGTAAGAACGACACTAGTCTCCACTACTGAAAGATGGTGTACCCTCAAGATTGTATACTGCAATAGAAATGACAGGAACATACGTGTCATTACCCATGTCTTCCCTTGGTAAGCTTCTTCCTGTTTATTAGCGTTCTCCCAGTATGTCATGGGGCATTTTCCCACCTGTGAGAGTTGCTTTATCTCATCTCATGATCTCTTACAATAAAACAAAGGTTCAAAATCACACGAGATTTGGGTCCTGGATGACTCGTCCAGGACGTAAATCTAGGTCTTGTATTCTCCAAAGGTTGTGCCCTTCTACTACTCTGAAATCAAAGGACAAAAGCCAGAGTTGTACCCCACATGCAATTGGTACAAACTCACTTGGTAGCAGTGTTCTGTAAATGAAAATAAAATCTACCCATCCAATCTAAAATTCATTTCAAATATTTCCACATTAAATTCACACTTAAGCTGTTGATTTCCATCATAGCATTTTACAGCTGCATTAATGAGTTCTTTTAAATTTTGTTTCACTCACATAACATCAAAAGCTACATTTTGTTTTGCATTCCTTCTTCATAATCAGTAAAAATTGACTGAAAAATACATTCCATCAGATGAAAATCTTCATGATTTGATAGTTTTTATATACGGACTCATCTCTTTAGTAAACAATATATCTTAGTTTCTGATCTACACTAAAGGTATATAAAATAAAATCCATACAGAGCCAGGTATCTAGCCAAATCTCCCAGAATGTTCAGAGGCCCTGGTTTCAGGATGGACAGGGAATTGAAACTGGAGAAAGGAGAATGTCACTTACAGTGCCGTTCATCACTGTTGTCCCCACACTGATCTGTGAAGTCACAAATGCTGTCAGGAGGCAAGGAGACTCCATTGTCACACTGAAAGCTTTCTGTTCCTTGCTGACCCAGTATAGAACTGAAAACACAGGCAATCCATAGGAAACAAAAAGTTTCACTCATTGGGAATGCCAACCTTCTGTCCAGGAAGAACAGCATTACTTGGTATTGTCTATTAGAGATTAGGCAGTTGTAATAAGCAAGCCCATCATTGGAAATATTCTTTTTTTTTCTCTATTCTTCCTTTCCTAGGTTTGCTTCTTATAACTGGGTACTATTGGTAACTATCTGCAACTCTAACAAATTACTCCCCAGGCAGTTAATTTACTCTTTCAGAGGAGTGACTTTAGAAAATATTTAACTTGAGTAATTGCACCGGTTCTGTATCTAGCTAACCATAGATTATTATTGCCCCCTGTATGCCATATTTACACAATTTAAGCCTTTATGGTCATGCTATCTCCTGAAAGACATTTGTAAAAAATAAAGGCCAGGCAAATAAATAGTAGGGGAGAGGGAACCACAATAAAGCTATAAATTACATAAAAATGGTCTGTCTTAATTCCCATACTCAATTACATTCATGTAATTTAGAACATTACTGAGGACACTAAGACATATTCAAAATTTCAGGTCCAATTATTAGAATTGCTCTATGAAAATAAAATGCTTATCCATTATTATCAAATAGAAAACTTACCTTGCTTGCTTTTGTTTTGTTTTGTTTTGTTTGTTTGTGTATAGCCCACGCGTGCTAGTAAGTGCTTCTTGAGATAAATTAAGAACCATAGATTTTTAAAAGTTGAGAGGACATTGGATGTTATTATTTTATAAATCATATAACTTCAACCCAAGGAAGTTATGAGATATATGTGAGAAAATACAATAAGTTGGTGTAAGAAACGAGAGCTCAAATATCCTACTGCTAAAAACAGTGTTCCTTCTTCTATAGCACAAGAATTCACCTGTCAATTCATCACAATTTACTTTTACAAGTGAAACACATGATTTCAGGATGCATATTCAGAATGAACGATATATTGAAGTTGAGATCACACAGACATATTAATTACATAATCTTATGAACGTGAATATTATAGAAATTATGTGATGTTGAATGTTCTATACATTGCTTTATATTTGATTTCTTAAGGGGATGTTAAAGTTCTTTTTCAACTATTTTATTTTAATTTCTGCAGTGTAACCACAAGAGGCAAAAATAACTGGAGAATGTAGAGTGGAAAGGACCAGAGACCAGGGACAGAAAAGTTTTTAAATGTTCTAAAAATTACGCGTATTGTAGGGGGGGGAATATATATATATAGTGGACATTCTGGATTCTGGTGGGTAGGGGGACAGGAATTCACAATTCTGCCTTACCTCTGAGCATTCCAAATAATCTAACATTTTGTTGCACTGTGCTTCAGCCCTGTTTCAGACATTTATTCTTCTTACCTCTCTGTTTTGCAAATAAATACTAATAAATCCTTCATCTACCTCTTTTTCTTTCCTTGTC